ACCAGCCTTGGTGCTGTCACAACCCTTCAGCCCAGCAACTACATGCAGCTTTCATCCTTTTTTTTTTTTTTCATGCATAATTATTTTGTGGTCAAAAGACAGGGTGTCTGATTTAGCATGTTTATTTTATGCCAATGATATATGTTAGCAGTGCAGCTTCCATGTAGGATGAAATCCATCTCCCATTCTGCTCTCTGGTGACAGTAAACTTGTTTTTTTTTAACGCATCAGCCATCTCCCACCAAAGAAGGGCGACCCGAAAAAAGAAGAAATACGGTCACCATCACTGTCTTGCCAGAAGCATGCCAATACTGCAATTCAAATGCCCTTCCGAACTGCAACATCCTCACCCCTCCTTCTGAGTTAAAGGACTGTACTTCCCACCTCCAGGATTAGTCTAGCTAACTGGTTTTCCTGAATCCCTTCATAAACATTACTTTGTTCACATTCCAACAGCACATCAAGTCATAAAAACTATTTGCCTACACTCACCCTTAACATGCTCACACATGCCAGTTGGATGTCCAAGCCACTCACATACAAAACCTTCTTTGCCCCCTCTCTCCAATCTTTCCTAAGGCAATCCCTACTCCACCTTCTCTCCACTACAGATTTATACACCCTCCAAGCCATCCAAGTTTTCTCCATCCTCTCTAAATGTTCAAACCACTTCAATAACCCTAGCTCAGTCCTCTGGATAATACTTCTAATAATCCAGCACCTTCCAATCTCCAAAATAAGAATTATCTGCATAATATTCACATCACACATTGCCCTCAGACACCTCTCCACTGCCTCCAGCCTCCTACTTGCTGCAACATTTGTAACCCATGCTTCACATCCACATAAGAATGCTGGTACCACTATACTCTTGTACATTACCATGTTTGCCTCCATGGATAACATTTTTTATCTCTACAGATGCCTCAATGTCCCACTTCCCTTTTTTCCTCATAAATTTTATGGTTCACCTCATTTTTCATGGACCTCTTTGCCAACAAGTCTATTCCCAAATATCTGAACACATTCACTTCTTCTATAATACCTTCCTCCAACCTGATATCTATCTTTTATTACCTAAATCACCTTGCTCTTTCCTATGATCACTTTTAATTCCCTTCTATTACATACCCTCTCATATTTGTCCACCAATCTTTGCAACTTCTCTTCAATACTTCCCAAAAGTGCCATGTCATTAGCAAAAGCAACTGTGACAACTCCCACTTTATATTAGATTCTTTGTCTTTCAATCACACACCTCTCCCAAACACCCCAGCATTCACCTCTTTTACAACCGTATCTATAAATAATTTAAACAACCATGGTGACACTAAAAAACCCTGTCTAAGACCTAGTTTTATTAGTAAATAATATATATAATAAAGAGGGAAGATAGTTTACCTACTTGTGAAGAAGGTATGCAGGTCACTAACCTCCTTTAGCCTGTCAGTCACGTAGATCTACGTTATTGACACCAGGGTCCCTCACGTAGATCTATGTCTTGAGCTCAGCTCACTCAGAAAAGCTAAGAGGGATAAATTTTGGCCTAGATATGAGAGAATGGGTCTGTGCAGTGAGTATGCACAATACACAAAAATTCTGACTCATGTGGGGCATGAGGAGGAATAGCAAAACTCTGACTCTGGTTTAAAATAGTGACCGAGACATTTTTTAGGATGGTTTTTATGGTTTTATTTGGTTGTTTCTTGGCATCATATGATAGAATGCAAGACATTACTGAAATAAAGATGATTTTGTTGTAGGTTGGTAGACAGCAACTGCCCAGGGAGGTACTACCGTCCTGCCAAGCGAGTGTAAAATGGAAACCTGTAATTGTTTTACATGATGGTAGGATTACTGGTGTCTTTTTTCTGTCTCATAAACATGCAAGATTTCTGGTATGTCTTGCTACTTCTACTTACACTTAGGTCACACTACACATACATGTACAAGCATATATATACACACCCCTCTGAGTTTTCTTCTATTTTCTTTCTAGTACTTGTTCTTGTTTATTTCCTCTTATCTCCATGGGAAAGTGGAACAGAATTCTTCCTCCGTAAGCCATGCGTGTTGTAAGAGGTGACTAAAATGCAGGGAGCAAGGGCCTAGTAACCCCTTCTCCTGTATAAATTACTAAATTGAAAAAGAGAAACTATTTTTTTTTTTTTTTTTGGCCACCCTGCCTCAGTGGGATACGGCCGGTTTGTTGAAAGATTAGATTTTTCCTGAGGACAAGTAATGGCCCCTACACTCCTGGTCTGTTTTATGTTTTTTTTATTATGTATGATTCAATTATTAGGATGCCATAAACCCTGACCAATCATTCCTAGTTACATTTTTTTTTTATTTGAGAAATAGGGTAAATCTACGATTTTTTGTGATGAATTCAAAATGGAAGACAAGTGTAATATAGGAAGGACTTGACGACATGATTAATGAACTGAGAAAAATTTGTTTTAGTGCCCGGAATGTCTACAGTGCTTATTTTAGATCCTGTTTTTAAATAGAAATTTTTTAAGTTTTTGCCTACTATGGGTTCAAACTTCCCACCTGTTCTGTGATTTGTTGCAATCTTATTATGATTTTGTGAGTCATGACTGTGGCTTTGTAGGGACTTTTGCTTGAGAATGCCACATCTATGCTGGTTTGGGATTCATCTGTAAAAATCTACATTTGTGGTCAAAGTGGGTGTCCATGCTAGTCTCCCATGAAGTACAGAAATATACCTAGTTGGATGATTTTTATTAGAGCCAGCTGGTCCAGGGGTTAATGCACTGGACTGAGCTTTAGAACTCACTTGCCATGGGGTCAAGCCCCACCCATTCTGCTATTTTTTAAAACTGGCTAAATTTCCAACTTCTGTGCACCTTATAGGGTAATTTTGATATAGTTAACAGGTGCTTTAATTGTGCTCAATTGATGGAACAGAAATCATATTAACGAAATAACTAGAATTTGATCAAATTGAGGACTGGAATTGGCTTAAAACACTACTCAAAGTGAGTGAAACTGCCAAAGTGTAAGTTGTGCCCAGACTGCTAACCTTGTGCCTGGGTAATTTTGCAAGTTTTCCATGAATTTTTCATATTTTTGGTGTCAGATTCTCTAGCATTTCAGAAGATTTTTTTTAAATGTAGATAATGTGAATACTTTTAATTTTGGGAGCCTGGACAGTGAAAGGGATAAACATTCTTTTTATAACTCCTGGTGATACCTCATCTGAACTTAATGCATTTCATTATCAATATCCAATAGTAAGTGCTGCTTGCTTTGATTATTTAACCCTTTGAGGGTTTCGGACGTACTAGTACGGCTTACGACCCAGGGTTTTTGACGTACTAGTACGCCTAAATTCTAGCGCCCTCAAATCTAGTGGGAGAAAGCTGGTAGGCCTTCATATGAAAGAATGGGTCTATGTGGTCAGTGTGCACAGTCTAAAAAAAATCCTGCAGCACACAGTGCATAATGAGGAAAAAAAAACTTTGACCATTTTTTTGGAATAAAACAGCGACTTTGCACTGTATTTTCGTATGGTATTTATTGTTGTATTCTAGTTTTCTTGGTCTCATTTTATAGAATGGAAGACGTATTACAGAAATTGAGATGATTTTGACTGGTTTTACAATGAAAAGTACCTTGAAATTGAGCTCAAAGTAGCAGAAATGTTCGATTTTTACCAAATTTCAAAAGTAAACAAATCGTGCCAAGCGTGCAATACACGTCAACTGGTGAGTCTAATATTCTTTCACAAGTGCACCAATAATATTTATACCATTTTTTACACTAATGCAGTAGTCTGCATAACAGTAAATCTTATATTTTTTGTGAGAATAAAAATTCAAAGTGGAAAGCAAAAGAATATAAGAGGGGCCTTGAGACGTGACTAATGACCAGAGGAAATGTTATTTTAGTGCCAGGAATGTCTTTCTTGTTTATTCTGGACCCTATTCGGAAATTGGCATCTTTTGAAATTTGTGTGAAACTGGCAAAATTGCTAAATTCTGACCACTGTACTGGATAGTTGAATTTCATAAATGGGTGGTTTCTTGCACCCATTCGATAGAAAAAATGGAGTTCTAGCGAAATATTCATGTTTTTTGTCGACTAGTACAGTGGAATTGGCCGAAAATGGGGCTCAAAGTGGGCAAAATCGCCGATGCGTAAACAATGCCGAGACCGCTAACTTTGCGAGAGCATAATTCCGTAAGTTTTCCATCAAATTTCAAACTTTTGGTGTCCTTATGATCAGGAAAAGATTCTCTATCTTTTCATAAGAGAAAATAATTTTTTTTTTTTAAATTTGGCCGACCCTGAGAATGAGTTTCGGAGAGGGCCTGTCGACCCTCAAAGGGTTAAATAGTGATATTTAAAATGACTGTTGAGGGCTTAAATCTGCATCATCTAGTGTCATCTGTAAATATGTACATGCTGCAAAAACACATGTATTATCTCACATTTCCTCCTCTAAATCAGTGATTTTGGTCTTCCACATGTAGATTGCTTTGTGTTACATACTTGAATAAATTTGGTTCCATCTCACTGTACACATTTATTTTCAAAAATTCTATCTTCTACCTGTGGCTTCTTTGAGTCTGTGATATATAAGTCGATTACTTTTGCCTTTTAAGAATAAACTGACTTATTACATTTTCATTAAAGCTAAAAAACACTTCAGTGTATAGACTGTCCCGTCTTATCCAACCTTGCTTTCTTGAAATAGTTTGAGGTTATATTTTCTTCTTAAAATCTTTCTATTCCCTAAAGACATACTATATGGTATTTTTAAAAAAAGCATGATCACTTTTACCAAAGTCACGTTATATAGTTTACACTTTTTTTTTTTTTTTTTTTGATGAATGTTAGTTATAGAACTGTGTGCTTTCCAGGTGGTTCATAGGATCTTCTGCAGGGTATGATATAGAGATGACTGTTTTAAGCATCATAGAAAATAATACAGTAATTACAATAAATGGACAGACATTTTCAATTACACTAACCTCATGTTCCAAAAATATAGCTTTTAGTTGTCCACCAGACCAAAAATCCATGGCATGAGACAGTAGCTTCATCGAGATTGGGTTTACACGCAAGAAATTACCCACAAACAACACCTGCAATTACCAAATAAAACAATGACAAATCTCCACTATACCTTCTATACAAAGTGGTACAGAAATAGTGTATTATGAAGATTCAAAATATATGAACCTTTATTATAATATATCCAACGTGTGTATTTTGCAAGAGAAAACTTACAAGGCTAAAGAACACCACCACCACTAATGTTAACAAAATTACCACTTGAAACTAAAAATCTCAATCAGGCTCAATGATGAGGCATCAGTAAATAACTTTACCACAACAATCAGCAACAATGGCTGGCCGAGAATTAACAATAATCATAGCATTAACTTGTGTGTCCATATATTAAAAAAAAAAAAAGCTAACAGCCTCCTCACATCCATTTACACACACACACACACACACACACACACACACACACACACACACACACACACAAATGAAAAACAATACTGATGGGATCACTAGCCAAAGAAGAACAAAAAATATATACATCAAATGCTCACCAAGCTAATAAGGAATCCAAACAATTGTATTAAGCTAACAGATTTAATAAAACAAAAGGAACTATAAAAAGGACCTGGAAAATACTGGGCTCAAGTTAACGTACTACGACTTAATAAACTTTCAACAAACCGGCCATATCCCACCAAAGCAGGGTGGCCCAAAAAGAAAAACAAAAGTTTCTTTTTTTAACTTAAGTAATGTGTACAGGAGAAGGGGTTACTAGCCCCTTCTTTCTGGCATGTTAGTGGCCTCTTACGGCACACATGGTTTACGAAGGATGAATTCTGTTTCGTTTCCCCATGAAGATAAGAGGAAATAAACAGGAACAAGAACCAGTAAGAAAATAGAGGAAAACCCCGGTCTCTATCTCTCTGTCTGTCTGTCTGTCTCTCTCTGTCTCTGCCACCATTTGTCGAGAGGGTTCATGGAGATGTGATGGTAGGAGTTAAACACAAGTCTGCTTATGTTGCAGACTGTGATAAGGGAGAGCCCAAACTGCCTGTCCTGTCACCTGCTAGGACTACGGGAAACTGAGACCTAGGGCCGGGAGCGTAGCGCTCACATCGGCATCAAATGATGTCACACAAGCTAGTCACTGAGCCTAGCGAGGGGTCGTGTATGTAAAACGTATGGATGGTACTCTGATACTCAGATAACACATACATATACAGATCAGCAACTATGTTGACATCTCTCTTTACTGACTGCCACAAGGTCTTCTCTCTCTCTCTCTGCTTCCTGAGCTATATCATACCTAGTCTTAAAGCTATGTATGGTTCCTGCCTCCACTACATCACTTGCTAGGCTATTCCACTTCAAGACTACTCTAATGCTGAAGAAATACTTCCTAACATCCCTGTGACTTGTCTGAGCCTTCAGCTTCTGATTGTGACCTCTTGTTTCTGTGTCCCCTCTCTGGAACATCCTGGCTCTATCCACCTTATCTATTCCACGCAGTATTTTGTATGTTGTTATCATGTCTCCCCTGACCCTCCTGTGTCGTCAGTCCTATTTCCCTCGACCTTTCTTCTTAGGACATTCCCCTGAGCTCTGGAACTAGCCTTGTTGCAAACCTTTTTTTTTTTTTTTTTTTTTTTTTTTTTTTTTTTTTTTTTTCCAACAAGTTGGCCGTCTCCCACCGAGGCAGGGTGACCCAAAAAAGAAAGAAAATCCCCAAAAAGAAAATGCTTTCATCATCATTCAACACTTTCACCACACTCACACATAATCACTGTTTTTGCAGAGGTGCTCAGAATACAACAGTTTAGAAGCATATATGTATAAAGATACACAGCATATCCCTCCAAACTGCCAATACCCAAACCCCTCCTTTAAAGTGCAGGCATTGTACTTCCCATTTCCAGGACTCAAGTCCGACTATATGAAAATAACTGGATTCCCTGAATCCCTTCACTAAATATTACCCTGCTCACACTCCAACAGATCGTCAGGTCCCAAGTACCATTCGTCTCCATTCACTCCTATCTAACACGCTCACGCACACTTGCTGGAAGTCCAAGCCCCTCGCCCACAAAACCTCCTTTATCCCCTCTCTCCAACCCTTTCGAGGACGACCCCTACCTCGCCTTCCTTCCCCTATAGATTTATATGCTTTCCATGTCATTCTACTTTGATCCATTCTCTCTAAATGACCAAACCACCTCAACAACCCCTCTTCTGCCCTCTGACTAATACTTTTATTAACTCCACACCTTTTCCTAATTTCCACACTCCGAATTTTCTGCATAATATTTACACCACACATTGCCCTTAGACAGGACATCTCCACTGCCTCCAACCGTCTCCTTGCTGCTGCATTTACCACCCAGCTTCACACCCATATAAGAGTGTTGATACTACTATACTTTCATACATTCCCTTTGCCTCCATAGATAACATTTTTTGACTCCACATATACCTCAATGCACCACTCACCTTTTTTCCCTCATCAATTCTATGATTAACCTCATCCTTCATAAATCCATCCGCCGACACGTCAACTCTCAAGTATCTGAAAACATTTACTTCTTCCATACTCCTCCTCCCCAATTTGATATCCAATTTTTCTTTATCTAAATCTAAACCTTTGTACTTTCTCTAATTTCTTGACGTGCTTGACCAGGTGTGGGTTCCAAACTGGTGCTGCATACTCCAGTATGGGCCTGACATACACAGTGTACAGTGCCTTGAACGATTCCTTACTAAGATATTGGAACGCTATTCTCAGGTTTCCCAGGTGCCCATACGCTGCAGCAGTTATCTGGTTGACGTGTGCCTCCAGAGATGTGCTCGGTGTTATGGTTACCCCAAGAGCTTTCTCCTTGAGCGAGGGTTGCAGTCTTTGACCATCTAGCCTATACTCTGTCTGCAGTCTTCTTTGCCCTTCTCCGATCTTCATGACTTTGCACTTGGCGGGGTTGAATTCGAGAAGCCAGTTGCTGGACCATGTGTCCAGCCTGTCCAGGTCTCTCTGAAGTCCTGCCTGATCCTCATCTGATGTAATTCTCCTCATTAACTTCACATCATCTGCAAATAGGGACACCTCTGAGTCTATCCCTTCCATCATGTCATTCACATATACCAAAAATAGCGCTGGTCCTAGGACCGACCCCTGTGGGACCCCGCTCATCACAGGTGCCCACTGTGATACCTCATCACGTACCATTACTCGTTGTTGCCTCCCTGTCAAGTATTCTCTGATCCACTGCAGTGCCCTTCCCATTATATGCGCCTGATCCTCTAGTTTCTGCACTAATCTCTTGCGAAAAACTGTGTCGAAGGCCTTCTTGCAGTCCAAGAAAATGCAATCAACCCACCCCTCTCTCTCATGTCCTACTTCTGTAACTTTGTCATAAAACTCCAGAAGATTTGCGACACAGGATTTGCCTTCCATGAATCCGTGCTGGTTATCGTTTATAATCTTGTTCCGTTCCCGGTGCTCCACCATTCTCCTCCTGATAATCTTCTCCATGACTTTGCATACTATACACGTCAGTGACACTGGTCTGTAATTTAGTGCCTCTTTTCTGTCTCCTCTTTTAAATATGGGGACTACATTTGCTGTCTTCCATACCTCGGGTAGTTGCCCAGTTTCAAGGGATGTGTTGAAGATTGTGGTTAATGGCACACACAGTATTTCTGCTCCCTCTCTGAGGACCCACAGGGAGATGTTGTCCAGTCCCATTGCCTTTGAGGTATCAAGTTCACTTAACAGCTTCTTCACCTCCTCCTCAGCTGTATGTCATCCAGCAATTGTTGGTGTATTTCCTGTTTGTGTCCCCCTCTGTCCCGTCTTCCCAGAGTCCTTCCTGTCTCCATTGTGAATACTTCCTTAAATCTTGTGTTGAGCACCTCGCATACCTCTTGATCGTTTCTTGTGAGTTCCCCACCTACTTTCCTCAGTCTGATCACCTGGTCTTTGACTGTTGTCTTTCTCCCGATGTGGCTAAACAGCAGTTTTGGGTCAGACTTGACTTCTGATGCTTTGTTGTTTTCGTACTGTTGCTGGGCCTCCCTCCTTATCTGTGCATATTTGTTTCTGGGTCTTCAACTTATCTCTTTGTTTTCCTGGGTCCTCTGCCTTCTGTATCTCTTCCATTCTCTAATGCACTTAGTTTTTGCCTCCCTGCACCTTCGGGTAAACCAAGGACTCGCTTTGGTCTTCCCATTGTTTCTGTTGCCCTTGGGAACAAACCTTTCCTCTGCCTCCTTGCATTTTGTTGTTACACATTCCATCATTTCATTTACTGACTTTCCTACCAGTTCTCTGTCCCACTGAACCTCCCGCAGGAAGTTCCTCATACTTGTGTAGTCCCCCCTTTTATAGTTTGGCTTTTCCCATACGACTCCTGTTACCCTCTCCACTTGTAACTCTACTATTTGATCAAAACTCAGGACTTCGTGATCACTAGCTCCAAGGGGCCTCTCATATGTGATGTTCTCAGTGTCTGAACTACTCAGGGTGAACACAAGGTCCAGTCTTGCTGGTTCATCCTCCCCTCTCTCTCTCTGGTAGCGTCCCTGATGTGTTGATGCATGAGGTTTTCCAGAACCACAGCCATCATCTTGGCTCTCCATGTTTCGGGACCCCCATATATATCCAGGATTTTCCCAATCAATCTCCCTGTGGTTGAAATCACCCATAACCAGTAACTTTGCTCTGCATGATTGAGCTCTTCATGCCACCTCAGCCAGTGTGTCCACCATCGCTCGGTTGTTCTCTTTGTATGCCTCTCTTGGCCTCCTGCAGTTCTGTGGTGGATTATACATCACTGCAATGACTACCTTATGTTCCCCAGATTGAAATGTACCTGTGTGTGTGTGTGTGTGTGTGTGTGTGTGTGTGTGTGTGTGTGTGTGTGTGTGTGTGTGTGTGTGTGTGTGTGTGTGTGTGTGTGTGTGCTTGTGTGTGTGCATGTGTGTGTGTGCTTGTGTGTGTGTGCATGTGTGTGTGTGCTTGTGTGTGTGCATGTGTGTGTGTGCTTGTGTGTGTGCGTGTGTGTGTGCTTGTGTGTGTGCTTGT